CAGTAGGTCCCCCCCCCTCATTATCTTCATGGCCCCCACCCGCCGCCCAGGGGTGGGGGCCGGGGGGGGATAGTAGGTCCCCCCCCCATTCTCATTATGGCCCCACCCGCCGCCCAGGGGTGGGGGCCGGGGGGGGGGCAGTAGGTCCCCCCCCCATTCTCATTATGGCCCCCACCCGCCGCCCAGGGGTGGGGGCCGGAGGGGGGGGAGTACTGTGTCCCCCCCCTCATTCTCACTATGGCCCCCACCCGCCGCCCAGGGGTGGGGGCGGGGGGTAGGACAGTAGGTCCCCCCCCATTCTCATTATAGCCCCCACCCGCCGCCCAGGGGTGGGGGGAGTACTGCCCCCCCCCCCATTCTCACTGTTTAGGGGTAGGGGCCAATAATTTACAGTGAGCAGCACAGGCTGCTCACTGTTAAACATGCCCTACTCGCGGTATAGCGAGTAGGGCATTATACTAATACTAAGTAATCTTTACTTAGTATTAGTAAAGTTGGCAAGACCAATTTAGGTCTTTCAGCCTTTTAGTAGATAGCTCCCTGATACCGTGGGAATTAGGGAGTTATCTACTAAGCGGCTGCAAGATGCAGCCACAGCAATGAATAGGATCAGAGTTTCATTCATTAGAATGAAATTCCGATCCGAATAAAGTGCCGAATTGCGTTCTAAAAGAAACGAACAGACTGTTCTCATTCAGTTAGAACGCAATTCGGCAGTTTTGTGGAAAGTGACAGGAAGCATTGTGGGAACACTGAGGAAAGCTAGGGATCATGGGAAAATTGCTCTGACCAGCGGAAATGAAGCACACTTTGCTCCTCCGCTGGTCAGAGCTGGTCAAGCGGAGGAATCCTCCATAAGGCAAAGAGTCCCTACTTTGTCTTATGATTTTAAAGAAAACTAAAGAAGATAGGAAGAAAAGAATAACAGATCCTGAGAGAGGGGGAGAAGAGGAAGAGATTGAGGAAAGGTAAGTTCGGCATGACAGTGCCGCTTTAAGTCATCTGTTGACTCAGGTGACAAGATCTTCCCTATCTTAATTATTGTTTGTGCCCCTTTTTTAATTGATTTTAACGAATTCAATGTCAAATGAGTCCCAAATTGGATATTTTTGAGTACACCTCTAAGATTTGTTATACTTTTGAATCTCGTGTACATCTCAGCTATGTTTTCAAATTTAAAGGGACACTATAGGAACCTCATTATTATTATTATTATGATATGAAGTGATCAATGTGCCTGGTTGCAGTGTCCCTGTTTCCCTTAGTACTGCAATTTAAATAATTGTAGTTTTTGATCATCTGCAATGATTACATTGCATGACTAAGACTGCTTCTAGTGGATGTCAATCAGGCAGCCACTACAGGCACTTTCTGGTGGTTAGGTGACTTTTGGTCACCTATCTCACACTGAACATCCTCACGCTCTGATTGAGAATATTCAGCATTAGTAAAATCCACATTGAAAAGCACTAAAGCAATGCTTTCCTATGAGGAGGGAATAATGCATTCATGGTGCACGTCGTGCATGCACATTAGCCCCCTCCTGTCAGGTGACATTAGATGAGGCGGCATGCCGAGCCAGCGCCAAGGGAGATCAATGCTGGAATTGAGTGTTAAAAGGGGGGAGTGGCCGCGTGGTGTGGGGTTGGGGGAGCCAAGGGAACTATAGTGTAAGGAATACCACGTTGTATTCCTTACACTATAGAGTCCCTTTCATTTTATTTCCTTACACTGTAGAATCCCTTTGATTTTACACACTTTTCTTGTGTCTTTTATTTTATTATTTTTACATATAGACTTGAATTAAGTCACATAACCTGCATTAAACTGGGATCTGAACCAAAAAGACTTAAGCACTGAGCAAATTAAGATAAATTGGTTTTTGTTTAGTAGTATTACTTTTTGGCTCAGTTAATATTCTATTTTAAACAAGCGTGATCTTCAAAACTTCTGACATTCTGTTTCTATTTTATATGCAATTAGTGGACTGCTCTTCACGGTGCTATCGCACAGAATGTTATAGTGTTATTAGTTCAATAGTTAAAGATTATATCTTTACTTTAATCACATCTCAAAAAAGCACAATATAAAAAGATCTAGTAATTTATCATATTAGGTAGAGTTATTTCATTTTTGATAACCTTTACAAAATGTCTTTAGTGTAGTTTCTTAAATGCAGTGCAATCATTTTATCAATATAGGATTAAAATCATATTATTATTATATTTCTTCTTATTATTTTTAGAGAACACTTGGGATTGTCTCGGACCATGAAGCTAGTTACAATTCGTTTGTGTTATGAAAAGCAAAACTCAGAACTCAATAAACAAGCAGAATAATTTATGAAATACAGCCTTTTAGAGACACATACTGTACAACCAACATGTATATATTCCAGTGCAAGGCGTAAGGAGTGCAAAAGTACATTATGACTTTCATTCAATACACACTGAAAGACCTTCAACTAAGCTGCACTAGAGTATAGAAATTGATTTTATAAAGTGCACGGTTAATCTGCCCTGTATTTCTTATTTAAGACTTTCCATATGTGTTTTAAATTCTCTTCTTCTTACAACAGTATTACCGAAGTACCTGGAACAAAATTTAAATCCAAGTGGGTCACAGGTACAGCAAGAACATTACTTCCTTTTGGGTTTGCAGGAATGCAGAACACAAAAAGGATTCAGCAATTTGGAAATCTTTTTTAACAAATATGTATTTGGTACCTGTTTGTAAAATAAACTTATGTTGTATTACAACAATTATTTGACGTGCTGAGTCCTTATTGAATTCTATTCATACTAATGAGAATTTCCTAAACTGGAACCCACAATGTTATGATCTCAATCTCTCTAATAGGGGGAGTACAAGAAAAGTTAAGCAGGGGAAACTTTTTGTTTCTGTATGAATCTCACAGATCTCTATATGAAAGATCCTGCTCATGCAGTACATATGATATATATGTGGATATCTATCGAATTGTATGAAGGACACTTCAACCTGTTGAAATGTAGTATTGCATACCCATGCTTTCTATATTCTTACGTTTTATGTTAACAACCTTTTTGTTGTATCATTTCAAAAACATATGCATTGTTGTATCCATCTCTGAAAATCTTGAATAAAAACAAAATAAATAAAAAATTATATATGTGGATATGATAAATGGAGGCCACGGGAGTTGTCAGGTATGGCTTAGTATATCTCTGAATCTTCCATCAGAATGGCCTTCACAGAAGCAACGAAAACTTACAGAGATCTGTGCATGCTCAATAGACATACAGGGCTATTCAGAAAAGTGCAAATTCTTTGTGAATTCAAAGTAAATTTAAAATTTAAGGCCAAATTAGATGAACTGAAAGCATAGCTCGTCTAGAGGATTTTTCCAAATTGGCTATTTTAACCTTACTTTTAAAATTCCTAAATTCACTCGTAATTCTAATTTTCGTAAATAACCCTTACAGACTGTTTCCTGCAGCTCTAATGAC